GTTCGAAATCCGAGTGTCAGATGATGGGGTAAGCCCTAGCTCCTATCCAACTAGCAGTTTGAAAGCATGAAACTGTGAGTAGATAAATAGGTACCACTTCTGTGGGAAGGCATCATGCTGGCCACCTGACCACAGAAACATCTTCTGACAGCGCTGGCTCAATGATCCTTGAAGTGGAGAGGCGCACCAACCCCTATAGTTAGCAATGACTAGCAGAGTAAAATCTGCAGGAACTCTTTTACCTTTACCTCTCTTAATGAGGTACATCTGGAACCCAGAAGAAGGACCTTTGCCATGGTGGCTCCCTTCCTTTGGAACATCACCCTGTGGAGATTAGATTTTGACACTTTGACATTCTTTCAAAAGGCCCTGAAGACCTGTTTTGCCAATGGGCCTGGGGAACCCCATCAAATAAGCCACTTAATGGGATGGAGCCCATCAAGTGGCTTATTTTTTTTTTTTAATTTGATTGATTGTTGTCATCAAGGCAATGGGGAGTTGTTATTTTTATTGTTGTATATTGGGTTATTTTTGTAAACTGCCCAGTCACTGAGAATGAGAGTGGGCAGCCATATAATTTCTCTTATATAGATAAGTTTCTGATGTATATATTGAATTTACCCAACACTTCTGAATTGCTGCACCTGATATAAGGTTAAATGACTTAACCAAAGAAGGGTCTAGCCTAGACTAGTGTAGTTTAGTCTATGAATATAAGTAGCTCATCATCAAAAATGAGCTGTCCCTCAGTGTGGGACATTTTCAGTCAGTAAAATGGAAATGCACCCCCATTTGCCATTCAAACTACCTACTTCTTCAATTGGGCAGCTGTGCAGTGGCTGCCATTCAGCAAAAATTCACCCATTTTCCATTTTTCTGAAAATAGGCTCCATAGTTACCATGTCCCAAGGCAATTTCAATTTACTTTCAACCATTATAGATTAGCAGAATCTGCTTGTGGCTAATTGTTTCTAATGCAAATTGCCTTTTGGTCCTTCTGTTTTATCATTGTTGTTATTGTTGCTATTGTTGAGGAAGTGATTTCGTACTTGTTTTTTTTTTCCTTACCACATCTTTGAGGATATTTTTTTTTAAAGTTATTTTTTCCTCTCTGGTTTGAAGGTAAAAAAATAAAGGACATCTAGACTCTATCAAGGTTTTGTTTGGGAACACAGCTGTCAGAAGTATGTTCGTTCTTTTTTCTTTTTTAAAAAAGGAGGGAGCTAAAACCTCCATCCCTTTAAAACTCCCTGGGTAAATAAATTAACACTGTCTTTCATTATTTTCCTAAAAGGCAATGTGTAGCCTAAAATTAAAGCTTGTCTGCGAGCTGATTAATTCAATTTTTAATCAATTAATTGGGTGAGTTGAGCAAAGCATGCATTAAATGCATATTCATATAATATATCCTAGAGGAAAAAGCATATTTTTGTGGTGGTGGCAGTACAACACTTGAATGCTACATATTCAGCAGACATTTATAAAAAGGTACATACTGCTATGCTTCAAAGAAAAATGATGTTTTAAGTTGGCATCCCATAACTGCAGATTTTCTCAAGATTTTCATTAAAGTTACTTAAACCATAATCTGTAATCAGCACATCATTTGTAGAAATAAACTACTTTACTGTGGTCATTAACCACCACAAGGAATATCCAAAAGTAAATTGACAATATCAGGATAATTAGGAAAGGTACATACAAAGAATTTTTACTAAAAGAAAACATTAAATCAAAATATGCTTTGATATTTTGGGACTTGCTGAGGCAACACATATGCAACAAAAGAAAAAAATAAATTAAAATTAAAATTAAAAATTAGCATTGAGGTAATATAACCTTTAATATAAACTGAATAGCAATATAAGATACAAACTCATATTCATTTGTAGACTTTCTTTGATGATGTTTTTTGAGTTTACTCCAATACTATTATTATTACTTAGTGTATGATAAGAACATGACAGAAGTACAAGCAGTCCTCGATTTACGACCACAATTGAGCCCAGAATTTATGTTGCTAAGTAAGAAATTTCTTAAATGAATTTTGTCCCATTTTACAACTTTTCTTATCACAGTTGTTAAGTGAATTGATGTGGTTGTTAAATTAGTAACACAGTTCTTAAGTGAACCTGGCTTCCCCATGGACTTTGCTTGTCAGAAGGTTGCAAAAGATGGTCACATAACCCCGGGACCAGTGGTGGGATACAAATTTTTTGACAATTGGTTCTGTGGGTGTGGCTTGGTGGATGTGGCTTGGTGGGCATGTGACTGGGTGGGCATGGCTGGGTGGTCATGTGACTGGGTGGGCGTGGCCAACTTGACCTCACTCATGTCAAGGGGCGCCTTGTCTGGCCTCTCTTCGCCTCAAAGGCCTCAACAAGATACAATTTCCCTGTAGCATCCAAAAATACACTATTTAGCATCCAAAATACACTATTTAATCTAGTGGTGAAATCTAAAACTTGTTACTACTGGTTCTGTGGGCGTGGCTTGGTGGGGGGGTAATGTGACTGGGTGGGCGTGGCCATTATTTTTTTTTTTTACTTTTAAAACTATTTTTTCTACAACCATTTTGGCGAAGAGGTTGTAAAAAAATGCTTTCAAAAGGCTCTGACAATCCCAGCTGAGTTGCCTGATCGGCAGAGGCTTTTTTAAAAAGTCTCTGCCGATCAGGCAACTCAGCTTGGATCGTCAGAGGCATTTAAAAGAAAAAAAGAGGCTTTTCTATAACCTCTTCAGCCAAAGAGGTTATAGAAAAAATGCTTTTAACAATAAAAAAAAAGCCTCTGATGATTGTGCAGCTCAGTTGGGCATGGGAGGTGGGCAGGGATTTTTGCTACCGGTTCTCCAAACCACCCGCCTCCATCGCTACCTGATCAGGCGATCCAGTCCAAATCGGGAGCATTTCACCTCTGATTTAATCCTATGTATATATGCCATATGTGTACATACATTACATAGTATACAGTATGTATAGGCACACAAGAAGATACATTATCTACTATATATACTGTATGTGTATGTATACACAAACACACAGCTCTTCTAAAACTATAAACACTCAACCTCACTTGGAAAAACACACCCAGAGTCCACTTTCTGCCACAAGTTTAACTCTTACGTTCTGTACTTTAGAACATTACACATGCCTTCAGATGTTCTTCCCTAGCCTACACATGACTGTTAGAGCCAGGAGAGGTCATGGATTGTGTAAAATGTGGTGAAACTCACTTAACAACACTCTTGCTTAGCAACCAAAATTTTGGCTCAATTGTGGTCATGAGTCAAGGACTATCTCTGCCTTCCTCTGCATGGCAGCATTGTCCTAGTAAATTCCTTCTCCTTTCTGGCAATTTTCCTCTCTGTTAGAGGCACCAAAATAATCCAGACAATATAAGGTTTCCTGCTGGAGCAGCGGGTTGGACTAGATGGCCTCCAAGGTCCCTTCTAACCCTACTATTCTATGATTCTGTAAGGATCTCCTACTGGAGCAGCGAGTTGGATTAGATGATCTCCGAGATCCCTTCCAGCCCTAAATTGCTGTACTGTTTCAAAGCATCTTCTGAAGCCACATCTAGTGTCAAGGTTTATAGTCCTTCCTTCATCTCCTTTTCTTCTTCTCTCTCTCTCCCTTCCTTCCTTCCTCCCTCCCTCCCTCCCTTCATGTATCTATCTATCTATCCATCCATCCATGCAACTATGTCATTCACTTTTCTTTCTTTCTTTCTTTCTTTCTTTCTTTCTTTCTTTCTTTCTTTCTTTCTTTCCTCTCCCTTCTCTCTCTCTCTCTCTCTCTTTCTCTGCCTTCCCTTTCTCCTTCCCTTTCTCCTTCTAAGGCTAGGAGACTCGCCTGAAACAAAAATGCCTTTGGATGAAACCGGCCATTGCCATTTGACTTATTCAACCCAAGACACACACACACACACACACACACACACACACACACACACTCAAACAAACTTCGTGATGGTAAGCTGCAAAGCGCAAACTAACGAAAACTCTTTTTTTTTTTTTTGCAATGCTTGTTTTTCTCACCCCCAAGCCTCTCCTGATGTTTTCCTCTCCTTCATCACAGCACTGGGCTGCAAGGGGGGAAACCTTAGACATGCACTATCAAAGAGGATCCTGGGTACTGCGCTCAATAGGGAAATGAGAAAGGGAGCTGCCAGCTGAAGGGAAAGGCGAATGGCAGGCAAAGAAAAAAGTGGCTTCCTTCCCTCACGCTGACTGTTCTGTTTCCCCTCCCCATTAAAGAGAATCCTGGGCACTGAACTCAATAGGGAAATGAGAAAGGGAGCTGCCAGCAGGAGGAAAAGGTGAACGGCAGGCAAAGGAAAAAAAAAGCGGCTTCCTTCCCTCACACTGACTGTTCTGTTTCCCCTCCCCATTAAAGAGGATCCTGAGCACTGTGCTCAATAGGGAAATGAGAAAGGGAGCTGCCAGCATGAGGGAAAGATGAGCAGCAGGCAAAGAGAAAAAGCAGCTTCCTTCCCTCATGTTGCCATTTTCTACATTTCAGCACCGCGCTGTGGAACTTCCCCCACCCACCACCACCCAGGCTTTTGCTTCCCCAAGCAGGAGGATGAGCAGGGGAAGAGGAGGCTGCTTTATTATCTTTTTTGCCATTGCAGTGCCACCAAGCTTGCCTCAGCTGCCCAGATGCCCCCGTTTTCCCCAAGCAGGATGAGGAGCATGGAGAAAAGAATGGCACTCCATTTGTTGCCAGTTTCGTCATTGCAGTGCCGCATAGTTTGCCCCCCCACCACCTTCCAGACACCAGCATTTCTTTGCCTATCTGATTTCCCCTCCATCACATTTTTCCATTGAGTTTCTCGCAATTGTGTGCAGGGAAACAAGTTTGTGGGAGTAAAAAAAAAATTCAATCAATCAATTCCAACCACGCTATCTCCCCCCCGCCCCCCCCCCCGATAAGTTAGAATTGAAACATGTGGGAGCCAGCTAGGCTGGGATTCAGGCCTTGCTGCTAGCAAACTCACCCAGGCTAATCTGGGTGCTCAGCTGGGTCACATGGAGAGCGCTGCGTGAGCGTGGAAGGCAGGCAAGCTGGCTGGGCCACATGGGAGGCAGCTAGGCTGGGATTCAGGCCAACCTGCTTGCAGTCACTCACCCAGGCAGATCAGGGCAGCTCAGCTGGGCTGCACAGAGAGCGCTGCGTGAGATTCAGCGGCAAGGAAGGCAGGCAAGGTGGCTGGGCCACGTGGGAGGCAGCTAGGCTGAGATTCGAGCCTTGCTACTTGCAGGCTCACCCAGGCTGCCTGGCAGATCAGGGCAGCTCAGCTGGGCCATGCAGAGAGCACCGTGTGGGATGCAGCCGAAGGCAGGCAAGTTGGCTGGCCTCAGAGACCGTGTAGTCGAGGCAAGCGAGGTAGCCAGACGGAGAGCAGCAGCAGCTATGCTGGGCAAGTGGACAAGATGAGGAGTGACTGGGCAGAGCGGGCAGGATGGCACAGAATTTTAACAACCGGTTCGCCCAAACTGGCCTGAACCAGCTGAACCCACCACTGCCCGGGACACTGCAACCATTATAAACATGAACCAGTTGCCAAGCATCTGAATGTAAATTATATGACCATGGGGATGATGCAATAGTCATAAGTGTGAAAAAAATAACAGTAGCAATGGCACTTACTTATATACCACTTCTTAGCACTTTACATCCCTCTAAGCAGTTTACAGAGTCAGCATATTGCCCCCAACAATCTGAATCCTCATTTTACTGATCCCGGAAGGATGGGTGGTCATAACTCAGTTCTCTCAGTGCTTTTGTAACTTTAAATAGTTACTAAATGAACTGTTGTAAATTGAGGACTACATGATTACAGATTACAGATTATACATAATTATAAGTAAACCTTCTATGGGGTATCGTGGTGGCCTCATAACTGGATGTCCAATTTAGCTACCCAGGTATCTCTGGCCTTGCTTGGTGCAGGGAACCAAAGGACACATGTCATGGGCAACACTGCACAATTGTTTAATAGTTTGCATATGTTGCGATTGTGGTGTCACAATTGCAACAAGTGGAATCTTTCCATTCCCACTGATATAGGGCAAAGGCACTTCTTCCATGGTCACACCATCACTACAAGGTGGTTAACAGGACTACTGTTGCTGTTGTTAATCAACATTAAGGTTGTTGATAATCAGCATTTTATTTCCTCTGACCTGATTCTTTAGTATCCTGGATATTATATGATCAGATCAAGGTAATACATCTTGTAGCTAATAAAGTGGACTATAATCCATTAAAGTTTTAAGAGACCATGCTAAATTAAGGTACCACAACATTCCTGGCTATTCTGCTTAAGAGAGTAGCATGAGGAGTGAAATGCTCCCGGTTCGGGCAATCCGGTAGCGATGGCAGTGGGTGGTTTGGAGAACCGGTAGCAAAAATCCCTGCGCCCCTCCCCCCATGCACAGCTGAGTCGCACGATCATCAGAGGCTTTTTTTTTTACTTTTAAAAACATTTTTTCTACAACCCTTCCGATGAAAAAATGCTTTTAAAAGTTTTAAAAAAAGCCTCTAATGATCGCGCGGCTCAGCTGGGATCATCAGAGGCTTTTCAAAGCATTTTTTTCTGCAACCTCTTGGCCGAAGAGGTGGTAAAAAAAAATGCTTTGAAAAGTCTCTGAGGATCCCAGCTGAGTTCCCTCATTGGCAGAGAGGCATTTTTTTAAAGAGCCTCTCTCAGGCGATCCGGTCCGAACCGGGAGCATTTCACCCCTGATATATATATATTTATAATATAATATTCACATACATGAATGCACATACATATTAAAAACATATTTGTTGGGGCAGCAAATATGTTTTTAATAGTGCCAAAGATATATACACAGACTGACAGACAGACAGACAGATTCTGATTATAGCAGACAGAGTGCCTTCTTTGGAAATCAATGCCTGACCTTTCTATGATTTCTAATGACAGTTAATGTTACAAACATTCAAGACTCAAATATATATTTGACAAGTATACCATCACAGTTAAGAGATTTGGATGCTATTGTAAAAATCTGGAGGGGGGGACAGTTTAACATAGTAGAGGTCATATCTGCTGATGCTCAGGGCTGACATTTCCAAAGATTTGTTGTACATGTAATTACATGCAATTATATGACACACAACACTGCAAAAGAAGTAGGAGCACTAGCAGGAAACATTCCCTTGGGATGTAATACTAGTCAAGGTTGCAGAGGCATGATACCAACTTAACACTGGCACTTAAGTTAATTGCATACTCATTTAAAGATGCTCACCTCATATTCCAACCTACAGTACAAGATTTGGAGGTTTACTTTTACTCATTTTGCAAATTTGAAAAGAGTCAAAATAGAATTGAAAAGCATGATTGTTTTCAGATTTTTTTTGTTCCACTCTATTTTGAGATAATAACTCAAGGTGACGAACATACCATGTTTCCCTGAAAATAAGACCCAGACGTATATTTTTGAGCTCCAAAATAAGCACTGGGGCTCATTTTTAGGGGAACATAATTTCAGGGTGATCAGCCTGGCTGGGCACCTGATCCTCCCAGTGCAAGCACAAGAGGCTGCAAGTCAATGGGGATCAATGGTATCTGGCAGCAGTTGCAGCCCACTCTGGTCCTTTGGTTGATGCACTCTGGGGCTGTGCAGCCCGTGCAGTGCAAGTGAGTTGACTCCCAGCAGACAGAGGCAGAGGCATGGGGGCAGAGGGCAGGCTATCCGGACATGCTGCACTGGCTGTCACCCTGACATGGGCCACAGAAAAGCCAAGACTCATGAAAATGACCTTCCCGCGGCTGTCCATCTGCTCCGGCACAACGAGTGTCAGCTTTCATGCGGCCCACGCAGTGCATCCAGATTGTCTGCCTTCCCCCAGCGCCTCTGCCTCCATCTGCTGCCGGTGCCACCATGCAAAGATGAGCCTCCTGCGGCCGGCTGCCCACTCCACCCTGCCTCTCAGATTTCAGGCAGCCCATGTGGCGCGTCCAGATTGCCTGCCTCCTCCCTACTTCTGCCTCCACCTGTTGCTTGAATAGGGAATCAACTAACGTGCGCTGCATGAGCTGTGGCTGCTGCCAAACACTGTTAGCCTGCACGCACTCACCACTTCCTGTGCTGGCCATACCAAACCCCCTTTGCTAGGGCTTATTTTTTTTTGGGGGGGGGTAGGACTTACATTAAGTGCACACTTAAAAATCAGGCTAGGGGTTATTTTCAAGGGTAGGTCTTATTTTGGGGAAAACACGGTACCTAATACTCCTTCTTCCTCCACAACAACAACAACTCTGTGAAGCAAGTTGGGCTGAGAGAGAATGATTGGCACAAGGTCACCTAGCAAGCTTTCATGCTAAAGGTGGGACTAGAACTCAATGTCTCTTGTTTACCCAGAGAGTCTATGTTTAAGCTTATCTGCCTAGTGCCCATGAACAGATCTTGAAGCAATCATGGAGAGAAATGCTATTTTAAGAATTCCAAAAACTTTTGATCATAGCCTAGCAAAGGTAAAGGAAACTAATTGTTGGAATTAGAGTCCAAAATTACTTACTGGAGAGCAGGTTGCCTACTCAGCATCCATGAATGAGCAGGGGTTTTTTATCACCAGAGTCTACACTTAATAGGTTAAATAGTGCACTCTGCTGGAGATAAGAAACAGCTTTATATACATGGAACATCTTTCTATTGCAAAATGCAAGAATCAAGTCCCCCAATTATGCCAATTTCTGTAGGAGACAGAGACAGAGAAAGGCAGAGATGGGGTGGAGTCCAGAATCAGTCTGGAGTCATTATGTTTTGCAAGCAATCCAAGTTTAACCCTCTTGAATTCCGTTACCTCTTTCCTAGTGCCAATTTAGTCTAACCATTAATTGACTAGATTTTTATGTATAGGCATGAGCAATAAATCAGCCTTGAACGTAATGTGTTCTTCATGCTTGACAGACCCTGGGTTTAAACCTTAAGCCTCTCTCTTCTGTCTTTTCAAAGGCAACAAAAATCAGGTGCGTTCCAAAAAAATCAGAAACCAAATGAGATAGTGGTAACATTCTATCTATGACTAGCTTTTGAGGCAATACTGGTTTGAGTCTTTGGAGCTGATGAACCTCAGGGCTGTCAAAATTCCCGTACCAAAGAAATCTTACAGTCTATATTGAAAAATTCCAAACTATGACAAATCTCTAAAGAAGGGTAGGAAATTTCTCATCCTTAAGATATTGGTGAACTACAGTTTTCAGAAAAAAAGCAATGATCAATGTTGGAAGTTATAATTCAGTAATATCTGAAGGACCATCTGTTCCTCATGTCTGTTCCACTTCCTTATACCTTACTATTATTCTAGTCACTCTATTTGTCAACTCAATTTACCTCACAGAATTGTTGTTTTGAGGGGGGGAAACTGGACTGAAAATCCTTTATATCTAACATGTTGGATTGGCAGAGAAAAAGTAGGTCCTTAATATTACAAATATATAATTGTGTAAGCACAATCTTTGTTAGTATTGTTTTTCTTTTCCCAAATTTAATTAGCTGCTTTATCATTTTTTATTGCACATATTTCAATTTTTTTAATTGACCTTGGCCTTTGGATAATTAGCCCAATAACATGTGCTATCATAAAATTAGTACAACTTCATGTTCTATCAGAAAATTAAGACCACAGACCTCTAACAGTTCTAGCTAGCTTTATTTCAAATCTTTTTTTAATTGTGGAAAATATATTTATATATACACATTGATATATGTATATATGTATATGTCAGATTATTCATGAACTGGCAGAGACATGGTAACAAGGTCAGCCAATGAATAGGCATAGCAACTAAATCAGTCAACTGGGAGCTGAGACAGACTGGAGCCAAGGTGTGTCTTAGTCTGCAGCTTCTGAGTCTCTGCAGAGAATTGAAACTGAAACCACTGTGTGAACTAGTCTGCTCTGCTGAAATGAAAGAAATATTGAACTTACCTGAATATTCTTTCTATGTGCGCTGTAGGAGAGTCCAAGCTATGGGTACTCGAAGTGTCTGATTGGCCAGAGACTGAGTTGCAAAATCTTTGGCCACACCCCTTCCTCCTGGCCGAGCCTCAGTTTTTTCAACGAAGAGCTGGAACTGGAGAGGGCATAGTCCACTAAAAAAAGGTCACTCCCAGACCCTGGACTGATGCAGACCAGGGAGGGATTGGACTTCCTGCAGCACACATAGAAAGAACATTCAGGTAAGTTCAATGTTTCTTCTCCTGTGCGCTGCTTGGAGAATCCAAGCTATGGGATATACCCA